AGAAAAAAGCAACAGGTGTGAGCTTTGGGGCCCACACCAAGCCAGAGTTCCAGCAGAAGGCCCAATGAGAACTCAAGGAGAAAGTGGACACCCACGCACGCACACACATACACCCGCACGCACGCATGCACTCACATACATGAAGAGCAAAGTCCTTCTCTAGAGTAGCACCCAGAGGGCAATGGTTCAACCTCCTTTCAGTGCTGGAGTCTCCAAGATTTTGCTGGCTAGCCTCTATGAGCCTTTTCTAAACTTGTCCAGTTTTACTGGGTTCTGCCCTAATTATGGGAAGGGTCTCTGCACAGGATGGAAATAAAGTGTCTCAACTATATTTACCACCTGTGTAGAGTGTATTCTACTCCCATGAATAAAACTTGGCAGACCACACAGGAGTCCCTGCTACACTTGGCCATATCCCACCAGGGTCGAGCAGAAGCAGGATCGAGGATAGTCTCACCACAGACAGAAAGATCCATCCTCTCCTGACATCCTAATCCCCAGAGACGGTAAATACGTAAGAGTCCACAGCGGAGAGAAATGCAGGTGATAGAGAGAATTAAGGTTGCTGGGGAACTGTCCTAAAGAAAAAGGAATTAGCCTGGCTTGAGTGACAGACCCGAGGTCGGCGCAGGACCCCTTCTGACAGGAGACAGAGGAAGGTGGCAGCACATGTGACAAGGCCCAACACTGCCCACTTTCAGTACGAAACAATGGAGCCAAAGCCAAAGGGTGCTTGCAGCATCTGCAAGTTAGAGAACAGAAGAAAACAGCTCTCCCCTCGGCGTGCCCAGAAGGAACTCAACACTGTGACATTAGCCCAATTAGACTGTCTGGGCTTCTGACTTCAAGAACTGGGAGAGAACATCTCCATTGCTTTAGGTCGCTGGGTTATGGTAATTTTTATAGGTGCAACAGGAAATTAATAGACCGGGGTTATTGGAGAGGTGTCTCTGTGGAGGGTAACAGACAGGTGTCGTGGGGCAGTCCCCTCACAGGCGGCTCCTGCCCCACGCTTGCAGCTTGCTCCAGACTCCTCGTCTGTCCCTTGTCCTCACATATCACCTCCTCAGAGACCAAAAACTGTCAGTGTGCAGCTTAACAGCAAGGCTTCTAGAAGTAATTTTCCCAATCCTTGACTACTATTGCCCAGGACTCCAGGGACCATAGGACCCCAGGGACTCTAGGGCCACAGGGACCTGCCATGCTCCTTGGTTCACATTGCTCTGAAAGGCCTCCTGTCTATCAGCTTCTGCATCTGCTGCAGCCTGGGGAAGATGAGAGCACTGCCAGCCCTGCTAGTACTTTTGCCTAAAGTTACAAAGTAGGAGTAACACAAGGGGCTGGGGAGGGAGTCTGTGATCCCTTGAGGGATTCTCAAAGATGCTTATCTTGTTTTCAGACTCACTGAAGCTAAAGGGCAGGAGACTCCCCTCCCTGCAGCCCAGGGCTTTTAAGAGTTCCAAATGCCAGGTCAACATCCGTGAGGTTGCACAAACATCTCCAGGCAGGCATTGGCACTTACTCACCCATCAGGACACTATGGAATCCTTGGTGCAAAACTTTTGGCATTTGCTGAGACTTGATGAAAATAAAATCAGGAAACTATCTCCACCCTAAGCTGATATAATATGCGGGCTTTGCTTTCTGCAGAGGGCTGCAGGGAGGGAATTACAGACTCCTCAGAGAAGCTGGGTGCCGTGCTCTGCCGACACGAGAACGCCCTGGAGCAGGAGGGACAGACAGCCCCGCAGCAGCAGCATGGCCAGGAAGCAGGGCATGCCAACAAGCTGCCACTCAACACAGAACACGCTAGACCTGTTTTCTCACACCCCATAGATCAACTGCCCGAGTGTACCCTGGAGGCAGTCCCTCTTGTGTGTGTGTGCAGGCCCATAGCAAGTACGGGAGACTGATTCACATAGCGAAACCATCCATCCCAGAGTGGCCACCTCAGAGCCGGGAAACCAGATAACAGCTTCCCCGGAGTCATGTCAACTGTTTCTCAGAACATGCCAACAGGCCGCCCAGGGCTGTGATAACTGGGTCCCATCAGTGAGTACCTCAAGGACTTAGAAACCTAAGAGGTTGAACAGCAGAAATCTGGCCAGGTGTGAGAGCAAAGCCCTCAAGCAAGTCACAGAGCAGTCACATGCTGGTCCCTAGAACCTGAGGAGTGAGGGTCCTTACTATGAAACCTGCGAGTGCCAAGACAAGTTGTCAGATGTGGAGAAGTTGGGAAGTTGAGCTATGGATGACCTGGATTGCCCACATGGGCCCCGAATGCTGGGGTGCCCTCATATGAGAGAAGAGGAGGGTGATGTAGAGACTGGGCCCTGGGGTGACGCAGCTCCAGCAAGTTGAGTTGAGGCACAGTCACACCCTTCCCAGGGCTTCCCAGGGAGTGGGACTTCCCAGCACCAGCATTTTGGCCTGGTGATGCTGACTTCAAACTTGTTACAGAGATGAGAGAGAATGCTCCCGTTATCATGAGCACTGCATTTGGGATTTTCCGCTTGTCGCAGGAAATTAAAACACAGGCTTATCTGCTTTGCCCTGCCTGTGAACCCTGGCCAACACTCACGGAAAGTACCTAGGACCTGCTTAGAGCTTTGATGGTGCCCAATGCGAAGAAGATTCCAGTGAGAGCAGTGTGCGCCACTTAGCTGGTGCAACATAGAACACTGGCACAGGCAGCACCATCCTGGAAGCTTGTGGGCGGCGACGTGTGTGCTCAGACCCGGAGAGTGAGGCTGGTTCGCAACAGGCCAAGGTGGAGCGCGGTCCAGCCAAGGACACAGAATGAACAAGATGACTGCGGAGGGTTGGAAGAGAGGACCACATAGCGAGCGAGGGCCTGACCTTGGCAGAGCCTGGGAGGAGGCTAGACCACTGCTCTGCTGAAAGGCAAGGCCCTCTGTGCTGGGGACACAGGGCATCCAGGACAACGTAGAATCAGGGCATGGCAGCGGCTAGGATGCTGAGGAGCAGGAATTAAGTGGTCTTGATCTGGCATTAATTGCTGTGGGTGTAGGAAAGGAGAAAGCTCGGAGCCAGTGAGGAGGAGGGAGAGGAGAGGGTCAGCAAGCAGCGGAGAGACGTGCAGAAGGAAGAAGTCGGGGTCCCTGAGTCAGGGCCCCCAACCGTAACTCTTGCTTTCCTCCCCTCAGCTCTGGGCACCTTCACTCTGCGGTGGAGGACTGAGCCCTGGAAGTCCTGCGTTCCCACTGCAACAGACAGGAGACTGTGCTGTCGTGTGGTCCTGTGGTTCTCGCTGCCATCCCCAATGGATGAGAAGCTACCGCTGCCCTGCTGAGGCCTCTGCTGGCCCATAGCCATTTGTATGTGGGGCCTGTAGTCGGGGACAGACGAATGTCAGGGTCCAAGGGCTGCTTTGTTTGGGTACACCAACAGGTTGGGCTGCTTCTCTCAACTTGTTCTCTGTGGGAAGGGAAGGTTTTCTGGGAGGGCCATCAAGGTGGTCTCACTTTCACCAGGTCTAATCGGGACCAGGACCCAGGGTTACTACAGCAATGCTCTTCTGAAAAGCCAGGGTTGGGGACTTAGAGAGCCCATTTGCCAGGGTCAAGCTTATTAGCAGCACCATGAAGTCCACTAACTTCTTTGGGTCCCGGACATTTAGAGAAATGGGGTGACCCCTCGGAGTTAGCCCATCTGACAGAGTTGTTTCGCATAAGCACAGGGGAGAGAAGTTTGCCTGTTGATACGGAAGCGCCACATAAAGGCGAAAAGCCGCGCTTGAGCCCGGCTGCCAGAGGCTGGAAAACGAGGAGCCCAGAGTGTGGTGGTGGCAGCGTGCACCCCACCTCCTGTTAGCCCTGCACTGTACCCCTGGCATCTGCCACTGGCCCATCCTCGCAGCGGGAAAGGCAAAGTGTTTGCAATGCAACCTGGCAGGCCTCCCCGGTGCTGGCAAGGCCCCGGACAAGTCTTCACGGAGGCCATTTCCCATATGTCTCATATTTAAAAGGCATAAATCAAGCTAACAAACCGTTAAATGAAATATGCTTCATCCTCCTACCTTGTTCAATACACTGTGAACACAACTAGGCCAGAATGGAATTTTGAATTCTGGGGCTCCTTGATATTCTCTGCTAGGGTGTGCAGTGCAGGAAACCCCACTTGCCTGTGCCCTAACCTGCTCCGCTTGTTGGCATGCGAAGCATCCCCGCCCCCTACACACCTGTGAAGCCTTATATACCTTACACTCAAGCTCATTCAAGTCCTCACCAAGGGCTCGCCATCAGGGGTTCACAAACAGGCCATCAGGGCATCTTCAAGAGGACAGCCTGAGGTGGAGCCAGAAGGAGCTCGGCTCCATCTGAGTGGGCCTCCAGCATGGAGGAAGGAGCCCTTGGTTCTGTGGACTCACCCTGGCCCATGGGATGGATGGGGAGAGAGAGACAGAGGACACCCTTTAAGGAATGGTGATCTCTGTTCTCAGTGTCAAAACTGACACTTCACTGGTGGAGGGACAGGTTGTAAGTTTTTAATGGTGGTCAGTAGAGTTCAAGTGGCAAAGTCAGTAGTCAACAACCTATGTGTCTTGAAAACACACTGTGCTCACACTCAAGGGATAAGGTCACCAAGAGTGCCTTGGGGGGAGGGGACGTCTATGTGATTCGTGTCACACAGATTGAGGAGCAAAGGAGAAGTTGGGAGAGCTAGGGAGACATCCCAACTAACTGGGCCTGCACCCGTGGCCCTGCACCCCTCTGGGCTCTGGCACCCAGGGTGTCTGCCCAGAGACTTCTTACGTGTCAGACAAGGACCCACCCTCTGATGTCCTCACAGTGCAGCCACTGCTAGTCTGGCCCCGCTGCAGATCCCGCTACAGAAGAGGCTGAGTCAACCTCTGCTGACTTATTCAGGCTGATTTCTCAGAAGCATGGAGTCACCTGCGCTGCTGTGGGGCAGAGAGCGCCCTCCCACACCATCCCCATCTGCTGCCTGCTGTGGAGATGCAGACAGTGTACACTCACCAGGCACCATTCCTGTCAGCGTGGGTGCCGAGTAGCTGCCCTGTCCAGCGGGGGGGACGTGCGGAGGGTACCCGGGGAGGGTCGTGCTTGCCAAGTCGCGGCCTGAAGAATCAAAGCAACAGATCACAGGGTGAGCATCTCTGCAGCCTGATGCTCGGCCACAACTCCCTGGACATTCCTACACATTTGTCACTTCTGGACGCTGAACTCCAGCATGCCTTACCCCCCATGTCAGTCACACATGCTCACACACCACAGACAGACAGACAGACAGACAGACAGACAGACAGACAGACAGACACACACACACACACACACACACACACTCCACACCAGCTCTCCTGGCTCTGTTTGGCAAGGACCAAGCTAGAACTGTGGTCTATCTCTGAGAAATCAGATAGTGCCATATACCAGAGCAGGTATCTTGTGGGACATAGTAGGCATTTTATGGTTAAATCCATGGGGTAACCAAACATCGAAGAGGCTTGTGGAAAGGAATCTCAAGGTAGCAGAAAGCCACAAGCAGGGAAAAAATAACTGTTCCTATCTGTGTCCCTTCAGGAAGGAACAGGGCCTGTGACTCGTCAAATCCTCCAGCAGGTTACAGATGACAGGGAGACCACTGATTCAACATGGAAGCCAGACCTTGGGAAAGTACCATGTTCTGTGGTTGCTGGACCCTGAGGGAAAACGCTGTCCTTGGGGAGAGAATTGACAAGTTTACCCTAAAAGGAAGGGTCACGGCCGCTGCCTGCCACCCTGGGAAGTGATGGGAAATGGTGTAGATTTGGAACTAGGGTGTGGGCAACAAGGGTAGGGAGGGGGTGGGGAGCGAGAAGGTGCCCGTGGGCGGGATGATGAGTGACCGCAGATCATGCAGAGGTCCCTCCTGAAAGCCAGCAGTACGCCAGCAAGGACTCTCAGCCCCGCACAACCAACAGGTGGCCGGAGGAGTGCCACCACTGACCGATGTCCCTCAGAGACCCAAGTCCGTACGTAGCATGAGAGCAGGAGCTTGTCCTGAGACTGCACAGCCCTTCCAGTGCCAACAGTCCGTGACCATCCAGAGGCTGCCCATTCCACAGTCCAGAACTTTAAGAACCCCAGACAGCCCCGCCCCAAAGGAGTCCCTTCCCTGCCCTGGTCATCACCTCCTGGCTTTGGGCTGGGCACCCTGGCTCAAGAGTCTTTACATGAGATGCTGGAGTTGAGCAAACACCCCAGCATTAACTCTGGGAGTCCTTCATCCTTGACACAAATTGCGCCTAGGCAATCCTCTCAAGGAAGCCCAAGGCCAAACCAAATGACCAAGCTTGCAGAACCTGAGGTGACTGAGGAGATTTGTCCTATTAGGCTTCCTGTGCCTCTCTGCAAAGTCTGAACGTCTTCATACCCCAAGGCCAGAAGGGCACAGGGCTAAAGAAAGAAGTCATTCTGCTGGAGAAGCAATGGCCTCGGGAGTCCTGCAGTCTCCTCCCCTCCTGTCCAAGAGGAGACCCAAGGGGGGCTCTGGGAGCTGCTCCTGCCATTTTGCAGATGGAAAACTGAGACCTGGTTGAGGAAGGGGAGCAACGGCTTGGGGGCCGCCCGACTGTGACTGAGCAGGCACCTCAGCCTAGCGCCTACCCCAGCCCAAGGCCTTCTGATCCCCAGTCTTCTTCACAGAGTCAGTGGCCAGGGACGGGATGACGAAGAGCTGTGACAATATCTCCGGAAGCAGAGTGGGCACCAGTCAGATACTCAGCACCGGGCTGAGACGTCGGGAGTCAGTCTGTGGGACAGCCAAAGTCAAGGTCTGCCTTGGCATGGGGTATCTCTGTCAGTCGTGGGGCATCTCTGTCAGTCGTGGGGCATCTCTGTCAGTTGTGGGGCATCTCTGACAGTCGTGGGGCATCTCTGTCAGTCGTAGGAGCATCTCTCCAGTTTGGGCAGCATCTCCTACCCCGTCCCTGACCCCAGGTTCCCACCTAAGGATGACAACTGCAAAAGGACACTTGCTTTAAAGAAATTGTAAAACACAAGGTTCTTGCCAAGGGTCTTGTAAAGGTTAACACCTCAGCCCTCAACAACCCGAGGTTATCAGTATTATTCCCTCCTTATAGGAAAATGTGATTTGTCAAGTCTACGTGGCTAGCCAACCTGTCCACTCCAGTGCCTTGCTATGAGCTGTCTGTACTCCTGCCTTGATTCCTGAAGTCCCATCTCTAAGCTGAGACACGGCCACCATTACCTGTTAGCTCCATCTTCCAGAAGGAACGTTGGCCACATAGATTTTTATAGTGAACATGCTTATTTTGGTTAAGACAAAAGAGAGGTGCCAAGCGTGTCTCTCGGGAGATGGAGGGTGCCGTGGTGAAGCCCACCTCGTGTAGCTGTTCGTGCACGCCCCAGCAGCCTGAGACGGCGAGCAGGCCCTGAGAAGGGCAGAGTGCCCATTGAAACTCAAAGACTCTGAGCGGGGCTTGGCCTGCATCCCGGGGCACCCGCCTCCTGGGACCAGCTCACTCTTCAACGAGTGCCTGCCCTATGGGTTGTTCAGTCAACAGTTTTTGCTGCTGGTACACACACCTTAAAACCTTTATCCTTCAAGCAAAGGTTCAGAAAATCAGAACCTTGGCAAAGAGCTCGGCTGAGGCCAGATGAAAAAGCAATAAAGCAACTTGGGGAAAGGAGGAGGAAGGAATCAATTCACGAAAGGGGAAACAAAGAGCAGACACAGCCGTAAGCACAGCCAAGAGTTGGCATCTGAAAATGAAGTGACGTCTATAGCCAGACCACCCTGAAACGCCCCGTCTTATCTGAAAAGACCAGCAAAACGGACAAACGTAAGTCAATATTTAAAACTAATCCCAGGGGATTATCAAGATAAATGGGCCCTGCCTGGGCCCATGTTCCAGCTGCAGCTGGGTTCTGACTTGATGTCTGCGGCCCGTGTCATCTCACCGGTCATAGGAGCCATGTGGGATGAAATCAGAGGGTCAGGATGAGCCAGCCCCGTCCTTCACTGGCCCTGGGGAAGCTGGTCCTGCCTCTCACTGGACACTGCAGCAAGAGATCTGTCCTTGACCCTCACAGGAGAGACGGTCCCACACCTCGACACGGGTGATGGAGAACCAACCCTGACAGCATGGGCATAGGAGAGCTGACTCCACCCCTCACCTGAGAAAGGGAGCTGACTCCACCCCCTCACCTGAGAAGGAGAGCTGACTCCACCCCTCACCTGAGAAGGAGAGCTGACTCCACTCCTCACCTGAGAAAGAGAGCTGACTCCACCCCTCACCTGAGAAAGAGAGCTGACTCCACCCCCTCACCTGAGGAGAGCTGACTCCACCCCTCACCTGAGAAGGAGAGCTGACTCCACTCCTCACCTGAGAAAGAGAGCTGACTCCACCCCCTCACCTGAGAAAGAGAGCTGACTCCACTCCTCACCTGAGAAAGAGAGCTGACTCCACCCCTCACCTGAGAAAGAGAGCTGACTCCACCCCCTCACCTGAGGAGAGCTGACTCCACCCCTCACCTGAGAAGGAGAGCTGACTCCACCCCTCACCTGAGAAGGAGAGCTGACTCCACCCCTCACCTGAGAAGGAGAGCTGACTCCACTCCTCACCTGAGAAAGAGAGCTGACTCCACCCCCTCACCTGAGGAGAGCTGACTCCACCCCTCACCTGAGAAGGAGAGCTGACTCCACCCCTCACCTGAGAAGGAGAGCTGACTCCACCCCTCACCTGAGAAGGAGAGCTGACTCCACTCCTCACCTGAGAAAGAGAGCTGACTCCACCCCCTCACCTGAGAAGGAGAGCTGACTCCACCCCCTCACCTGAGGAGAGCTGACTCCACCCCTCACCCGAGAAAGAGAGCTGACTCCACCCCTCACCTGAGAAAGAGAGCTGACTCCACCCCCTCACCTGAGAAGGAGAGCTGACTCCACCCCCTCACCTGAGAAAGAGAGCTGACTCCACCCCTCACCTGAGAAGGAGAGCTGACTCCACCCCTCACCTGAGAAGGAGAGCTGACTCCACCCCCTCACCTTGGGTTGGCCCACCCTAACATCTACCCCATCTAGGACCTGCTGGAGCTTGTGAAGCGACGGGTCCTGTGGGAAGATACCCACAGGATCTCCATGGTGAGGGATATCCCAGAGGAGTTCCAGTGAGGATCCAGTGTTGATGGTGTACCAGAAGCCAGAGGCCTTGACCCAGACCAGTGACTCACTGCAATGAACATTTGCTAGCAAAGTTGATAGGACACAAGGGTACACTGTGTGCCACACCACTCCCAATGCCACCAGGAGGAATGAAGAGCTGTTAGGGAAGAGCTGTTAGGAAAGACAGAAAAACGAAGGGTTTTGTTGTTTGTTTGGTTTTTTTTTTGCTTTGTTTTGAATTTAAAATTTTTCTTTTTTGGGGGACACTACAGGGGTGAGGGGAAGATATGGAGGGATTGGGAGGTAAGCGAAATTAGGGTGCATGATGTGAAATTCCCAAAGGATCAATAAAGAAATTATGTTACAATTTTAAGAAGATAAAGAATGAACAACGATAACTAAGATAATAGAAAAATAATATTTATAAAGAATACAAACTGCATACTTATAAATATGAAATTCTCAACAAAAGGTTTGATTTTCTAGGAAAACATAAATTACCATAATAACAAGAGTAGCTGGAAAATACCAATAGCCTAATAGTCTTTGGAGAAGTAGAACACTATCTTTATTAAAAAATAAGAGCCTTGTTCTCTTAGCTTCATGAGTAAGTATTTATTTTATATTTCATTTCATTGTATATAATCAAGGGATATATTCTTATGTTATTAAATGGTCTAGTCTATAAACAAAGAGAGTCTTCCTCATTCATTCCACCATCTTGGACTAATTGTGATGCAAGCACTTAAAGGCTAGTATCATAACTCATTCATAGGATACCAAGTTATTTCACTCTTGCTACTATCGGCAATGGCAACAAATGTCCTCTATCATGCTGATTGAGCAACACTGGGCGTTAATGATATGCCATGACCAAAAGAGTTTTATCCCAGGTATGAAAGGGTGATTCAACATCAAAATATTGGTTTGAACTTCCTATCGTTATTTTTTTAAAAAA